TCTCACAGACATACATACACATGATCCCTGTCATTCTGGGAAGCAGCCGAGTTCTGTTTCCCGACCCCCCTCAACCCAAGGGAGGAAGTGAGTGAGGGCACAGGGCCCCTCTCTGAGGCCAGGCAGTGGCCCTCCCCAACCTCCCCTTCCACTTTCTGGTGCCCCAGCAGGTCCCTGGTCAGTCCCTGGGAGCACTCAGGCTGCAGTGAGAGTTCATGGAGAGACAGGTGGACTGGGCACGCAGTGTGTGCCGAAGACACTGAAAACCCCCACCAATGGCAGTTCCCTCTCAGGTCCTTGGCTTCTAGACCTTTCTCTTCCCTTTCTCCCTGGGATCATCCTCCTGAGGGGGCTCTGCCTGTAGGGAGAGGTGGGGACTGAGGCTTCCTGTGCTTGTGACAGGCCGTCCGGCCCGGGGCGTCCGTGCTAAGAACATGCGTGTTAGTCCACGTGTGCACGTGCTAAGAACATGTGTGTTAGTCCACGTGTGCACGCGCTTGCTCCCAGCATCCCTCGGGGCCAGTGTTTGATCAGCCGTCTCCCAGGCAGCTATGTGGCCTTATCCAGTAACTTCAGCAGTCAGGTAAACACAGCAGGTGTCACCAAGCCTGTCCCTATTGCGGGGCATTCAGGTTATCTCTGTGTTTCTTTTTATTTTGAAACAGACTCGGAGGCCAGGTGTGGCTCACACCTGTAATCCCAGCACTTTTGGAGGCCGAGGCAGGTGGATCACCTGGGGTCAGGAGTTCGAGACCAGCCTGGCCAACCTGGTGAAATCCTGTGTCTACTTAAAATACAAAACTTAGCTAGGTGTGATGGTGCACGCTTGTAATTCCAGCTACCCAGGAGGCTAAGGCAGGAGAATTGCTTGACTTGGGAGGCAGAGGTTGTAGTGAGCTGAGATTGTGCCACTGCATTCTAGCCTGGGCAACAGAGTGAGACTCTGTCTCAAAAAAATAAAATTAAAAAAAAGAAAAGAAAAGAAACAGGGTCCGGCTCTGTCGCCCAAGCTGGAGTGAAGATCACAGCTCACTGCAGCCTCCACCTCCTGGGCTCAAGCGGTCCTTCCACCTTGGCCTCCCAAAGTGCTGGGATTATAGGTGTGTGCCAGCACACCGGCCTCTCTGTCTTTTTTGACTACTGTACACACTGTGGGAGGGACCATTCTGCTTACGGCGTGACAGTTTCACAGCTGACCACTTTTACTTTATCGAAATAGGGTGAGGTTCATCAAGAGGTTGTGCAGAGCAGTGTGGGCGGTGCCCTGGAGGGCCCAGCGCCTCCGCCTGGGGACAGAGGCCTCGCTTCTCCCGACCCTTAGTCTGCAGGGCTCCGTGCCGCTCCCTGTGCGGTTTTAAGGTTCGACATGAGTTTCAGCGTCTTTACTTGGGACGGTTAGGAGCTGCTGCATGTGCATTTGAAGATCCGTGGTAATTGTTCCAGCAGGTTTCACGCCTGAAACTACGTCTTGTTTCGAAATCTTGCTTTTCATGTAGGAGTTTTCCTTCTGCGATGTGTTTCAAGCTGGGGCACTCATTACTGGAAATGCAACCAGATTTACTGAGGAGGGCGTGTTCGCGTGTGTTTGGCGACCTACAGATACTACACATACAGAGCTGTCTAATTTTGTTTCACAGTGAGCTGAAACGTATTCCCACGCCAATCCTTTGTGCCCTTCGGAGTTTGTGCCTCCGTCCCGCCCTAGGTGGCTCCGACAGGCTCCTCAGCCGTGCTACCCACCACCCCCACATTGTCTGCACGTGACTGTGGCTGTCTTTAGGTGGCCACACAATTCTGTCCCCGTCAGACGTGACACATTCTGAAAACCGTGCGTTCTCCTTATTCCAGTGTGAGGTGCCAGAGTGGCCATGGCCAGTCTCCTGTGACCTTCGGAAGGAGGCCCCTGCCCCCTTGGTGGGTGCCCCGTGTGGGTGGGGAGCTCTGTGTGCCCACCTTTCACTGAAGCGGGGCTTGTACGGCTGTGCGGTGGTGTAGGACGGTTCTCACGGGCTCCCGAGCGCAGGAGACGGGCCTGGCTCTGGGGCATCTGTGGCCGTGTGTGCTTTGTTTGGTTTGCTTAGTAACCCGCGCTGTGTCCCCATGTGAATTGCAAGGACACCGTGTCACCCGGTGCCTGCCATCCCCGCTTGTTCCTGGAGCCTCTGCCACATGGCCTGCACTGAACCCCAGAGTGAGTCAAAACCAGGAGCCTTCCCATGGTGGGGCTTCTATTTTTATTTGTGTCCTTATTCGTTTATTTAAAGATGTGAAGGGCATGTGGGGTTGGCAGAACAAGACGGAGCCGCCTGCTGGCCACGGCAAAGCCACCTCCCCGGGCGCTGCTGTCCTGGGCAAAGCCTGGTCCCTGCAGGACTGGACACAGCTTCCCAGAGCCCTCGGGGCCAGTGCACGTGGCAGGGTGGGGGGTACGTGCAGGGCTTGGCCTGTGGATGCTGCTCCTCCCTGGGATGGAGGGAGAAGGCGTGGCCCGAATTCCTCAGGCAGGAGGGTGGGCAGGGTGGGCAGCAGAGGCTGTGGGCCCGTGAGTGCTGGGCCTCGACCCTCCCTGTTGAGGTCCCGCCCCCATCACTGGCCTGGCTGAGCACTGAGCTAAATCCAGATAAACAGGTTGGTGAGATGGCGCGCCCAGCTGGCTCGCAGCGTCTCATTAACCTCATAAATGTCCTTCTGTCTGGGCCGCAGGCGACAGACGCGTCCTCTTGAGTGAGCGAGCGCCGATAGCCCAGTCAGGCTGGAGAGAGAGGACCTGAGTGCCTTTCCTCCTAGAACTGAGGTGCCTCGTGCTGGTGGTTCTGTGTGTGTCAGGAAGTCACAGATCCACAGAGTCTTTGAAGAAAGTGGGGAATAGTTATCAACCGCCGCTCCACGGAGAGTCTGAGGCGGAGAGGTCGGGTTTCCCCTTTGGGTGCCCTGCCCCTAGGACACGGTGGTGGGAGGTCTCAGGGCAGAGCCGCTGCGAGGTGGGGTAGGGGCTCAGATGCCAGCACCCGTGTGCCCGGTTCCCCATCCTGGGCCTGACAGTCACTTTGTGGTCCTGGGCAGGATATTTTCAGGGGCAGTGATGCTAGTGGGGAAAACTGCTGAGCACTGAGCGATCATTCGTGTAAAGCGCCTGTCATTGAGTGTGACCTCAGCGTGGCCCATGTGACCTCAGTGTGGCCCGTGTGACCTCAGTGTGGCCCGCGTGACCTCAGCGTGGCCCATGTGACCTCAGCGTGGCCCGCGTGACCTCAGCGTGGCCCGCGTGACCTCGGCGTGGCCCGCGTGACCTCGGCGTGGCCCGCGTGACCTGGCTGTGGTGTCTCAGCAGCACCACCTTTCTTCCTTTTCCTGTTCCCTCAGCCTTTCTCAGGCCTTGCGGACACCAAGCCCTGCCCGGTGAAATCAGAGGCTGCAGACCCCAACTGTGGGAGTCCGCAGTGGACAGGCCTGGGGAGACAAGGGTGGGTGGGTATTTCTGTCCAGGTGAGGAGAAGGTGGGGATGAGGTGGGGGAGGGTGCCCGCCTGGGCTGAGGGGAACAGAGGGAAGCAGGGCTTGCTGGCACATTGAGGGGGCCGCTGTAGGGGCAGCAGGAGGCAGCTCCCCAGGTGTCCCCACACCAGGCTGGCGTGCAGTCCTCAGGCTGCTGGTGACACATGCAAGGGGCCTGCTGCCCTGTCCTCTCAGGCAGGCGCCTCCTCCTTCCCGCGTGTTCCTGTTCTGCATTGCAGGTAGTTTTTAAGGGCTTTGTTTTTATGGCCCCCCTACGTGAGGTCCTGGGACGAGGGCTTTGGGGCTCTGGAGTTGGGTGAGTGGTGTCTCAGCAGCACCATGTTTCTATCTGAGGCTCATCAGGGACCCAGTGTGGGGCCCTGGGGCGGGTTTGCCGTCGCCTCTTCTCAAAGGGCCCGTGACTAGGTGGCCCAATGAACCTCCAGGCTGGTTTCCTTGTCCGGACCCAGGGTCAGGGACCCCAGACTCGGGGAGCGTCAGCGAGGGAAGCAGAGCTTTTGGAAACCGCGTCACAGTGACACCTGCGTGCAGGTCGCCCACATCCCTCGCGTCTGGTCCTAGTGGCTTCCCACTGTTGGGGGTCGTTAATCTCACCTGCAGTTTCGCTCAGTCACTCGCATGAGAAAGGGAGTGTGGAAACTTCATGGGATTTATCTGAAGAAAGATTTTATTGACATCCTAAAAACAGGCTATTTTACGTCATGGCTCTCAGGAGGCCTCCGGGAAGTTGCATCTGTATATTTTGTTCTTCTCTCTTAATGTTTTTGTGTAAATCATGAAGTTTTCAGGTCCAGGGAAATAATCTGGAGATACTATATTCCACGACATTTCCTTGGATGGTATGTCCAGGTGAGCTTTGCTCTTCTTAACCTTAAAAAAGGGACATGGAGGTAAACACTGAAGAGCCACGTGGAAGCAGGACGCCACGGCAGCCACGTTAGCAGATGCCCAGAGAACTGCCACGTGCCTCGGTGTTGATTGTTGTTGCCTGTTCCCAGCCACCTGCAAGGTCATCAGGATTCAGGCGGCGCAGCTCCCATTCATCTGAAACACCACTGGAAGGGGATTTCGGCAGAGGTCTTATGCCAAAATCCATTATTTCAAAATAAGTGAAACCGTGATTCTAAACATTCTAGGTTTGCTGTAGAGCATGATGAAAAGCTCCAGGTACCTCAGGGCTCCATACAGGTCGAGGTTTTGTTTCAGTTCTGCTTTTTACCTGAAGAGAATCTCGTGTGTGTGTGTGTGTGTGTGTGTGTGTGTGTGTGTGTGTATCTGCCTGCCTGCCTACTTACCTTCCTACCTGTCTGTAATTGAGAAAAGATCATTGTGTATATTTATGGAGTAACGTGATCTGTGTGTACACTGTAGAAAGATTAATTAATTAGCATATTGATCAGCTCGTCAACATGATTTTTGTGGTGCGGATGTTGAAAATCTCTTCTTTTCCCGTTTGGAACATGATAACATTACTGGTATCTGCAGTCACCTTGCAGTGCGGTGGATCACAAGCTCTTCCATGGTCTAACGGAAACTGTCCCTTCCATCGGCACCTGCCCTCCCGATCCTTTCGCCAGCCCCCAGCGCCTGGAAGCCGCCGCATCCTCCCAGTTCCTGCGAGATGTCTGTTTTCAGTTTCTCACGCGGGTGAGATCATGCAGCACGTGTCGCTCTGTGAGTGGCTGATTCTGCTGAGTGTCATGTATGCCAGGTTCACCTGTGAGGTTGCCAGTGATGGGACTTCCTTCCTCCTTATGGCTGAGTAGTGACATGCTGTGTTGACGCAGCACACGCTGTCTATCCATTTGTCTGTTGGTGGGTGCACGGGCTGCTCCATCGCGTGGCTGCTGCAGAAAACACCACGTGCAGGTGTCTCTGACACACTGATTTCAGTTTCTTTAGATCCTTAAGATAACACCCAGGAGTGGGATTGCTGGACCTTATGGTAGTTCTTTTTTTTTTTTGAGAGAGAGAGTCTCACTCTGTGGCCCAGGCTGGAGTGCAGTGGCACAGTTTCAGCTCACTGCAACCTTTGCCTCATGGGCTCAAACAGTTCTCCGGCTTCAGCCTCCCGAGTAGCTGGGATTACAGGTGCACATCACCGTGCCCAGCTAATTTCTGTATTTTTAGTAGAGATGGGGTTTCACCATGTTGCCCAGGCTGGTCTCGAACTCTTGACCTCAGTAATCCACCTGCTTCAGCCTCCCCAAATACTGGGATTACAGGTGTGAGCCACCGTGCCCAGCCAGTAGTAGATTTTTAAGGCACCGCCAAACGGTTTCTATAGTGGCTGCAGTGATTGGCGCGCTCTCCCACAGTGGGCAGGGGTCCCTTTCTCTGCATTCCTGTCAACACCTGTCCACTCGTAGTCTTGATAGTAGGCCAGCATGAGATGACACCGACCTGTGGCTTTGATTTGCACCCCCCGATGGTGAATAACGCCGAGCACCTCCTCATTAACCTACTGGCCATCAGCGTGGCTCCTTCCGGCGTGGCTCCTTCTGACGTGGCTCCTTCCAGCGTGGCTCCTTCCGAGGCATGGCCGTTGGGGTCCTTTGCCATTTGCTTTCTTGCTGTTGAGCCTGAGCACCTTTCTCCCGTGGAAGCTGGACCTGCATCAGGCATGTGGCCTGCTGGGTTTTCCCTCCCTCGGGGGTAGTCTCTTTGCCCCGTCGTTCGCTTTGTCGTGCAGAAGCTGTTGAGTTTGCTGTAATCCCAGTTGTCTGTGTTTGCTTTCGTTGTGTATTTAAAGTTCTGCTGTCCGTTTTCTCCATGGGAAGCTGTGGGAATACTGATGACGGTGTCGCACTCCTGGCTGCCTCTTGCCATTTTCCATGGCGGGCATTGTTCTGGGTGCGCCCCGGTGATCTTTGGCTCTCCACAGCCCACTGGCCTCAGGGTGTTGTTACTCTGTCTTTATGGTTGAGGAAACTGAGGAACAGCTGGGAAGTGCTTGGTGCTGGGGTTGGACTCCAGTAGTCCCGGCAAGTAGCAGTGGGTGTGGGACGGGCAGCGCATGGGAAGGACGAGGGGGTTCAGGAGAGGACGCCCCATGCCAGATGCCCGAGGCCCTGGCAGCCTCTACCCGACTGCAGGCCCAAGCACCAGCTTCCAGAGCCAGAAAATGGCATTCCCGTACCAGACCCCCAGCACCAGCCCCTCAGCACCAGCTCCCACATTCCAGCCCCCCAGTACCAGCTCCCCCAGCACCAGCTCCCACACTCCAGCTCCCCCAGCACCAGCTCCCACACACCAGGACCCCCAGCACCAGCTCCCACACACCAGCCCCCCCGCACCAGCTCTCACACACCAGCTCCCCCAGCACCAGCTCCCACACACCAGCCCCCCCAGCACCAGCTCCCACACACCAGCCTCCCCAGCACCAGCTCCCACACACCAGCCCCCCCAGCACCAGCTCCCACACACCAGCCTCCCCAGCACCAGCTCCCACACACCAGCCCCCCCAGCACCAGCTCCCACACTCAGCCCCTCAGCACCAGCTCCCACACTCAGCCCCCCCAGCACCAGCTCCCACACTCAGCCCCTCAGCACCAGCTCCCACACTCAGCCCCCCCAGCACCAGCTCCCACACTCAGCCCCTCAGCACCAGCTCCCACACTACAGACCCCCCAGCACAACCTCCCACACTCAGCCGCTCAGCACCAGCTCCCACACACCAGTGCCCCCAGTACCAGCTCCCACACACCAGCCTCCCCAGCACCAGCTCTCACACGCCAGCCCCCCAGCACCAGCCCCCACACTCCAGGCCCCCCAGCACCAGCTCCCACACTCAGCCCCTCAGCACCAGCTCCCACACTACAGACCCCCCAGCACAAGCTCCCACACTCAGCCCCTCAGCACCAGCTCCCACACTACAGACCCCCCAGCACAACCTCACACACTCAGCCCCTCAGCACCAGCTCCCACACGCCAGCCCCCCAGCACCAGCTCCCACACACCAGTGCCCCCAGCACCAGCTCCCACACTACAGCCCCCTACAGCACCAGCTCCCACACGCCAGCCCCCCAGCACCAGCTCCCACACACTAGTGCCCCCAGCACCAGCTACCACACTACAGCCCCCCAGTACCAGCTCCCCCAGCACCAGCTCCCACACTCCAGCTCCCCCAGCACCAGCTCCCACACACCAGGACCCCCAGCACCAGCTCCCCAGCACCAGGTCCCACACGCCAGCCCCCCCAGTACCAGCTCCCCAGCACCAGGTCCCACACGCCAGCCCCCCCCAGCACCAGCTCCCACACTCCAGCCTCCCCAGTACCAGCTCCCACACTCCAGCCCCCCCAGCACCAGCTCCCACACTTCAGCCCCCCCAGCACCAGCTCCCACACTTCAGCCCCCCCAGCACCAGCTCCCATACTTCAGCCCCCCCAGCACCAGCTCCCATACTTCAGCACCCCCAGCACCAGCTCCCACACTTCAGCCCCCCCAGCACCAGCTCCCACACTCCAGCACTCCCAGCACCAGCTCCCACACTCCAGCCCCCCCAGCACCAGCTCCCACACTCCAGCACTCCCAGCACCAGCTCCCACACTCCAGCCCCCCCAGCACCAGCTCCCACATTCCAGCCCCCCCAGCACCAGCTCCCACACTCCAGCACTCCCAGCACCAGCTCCCACACTCCAGCCCCCCCAGCACCAGCTCCCAAACGCCAGCCCTCTCACCACAGTGTGCCTGTTCCCCTCCCAAGGGCAGTGGGAGGGGCCTCCAGGCCTCGCCTTCCTTTGCTGTGCCCATGCTCAGGGATGGCGACTTCATGAGAGGTCACAGAGGCTCCACAAGTCCCCAGGCCTTCGGCTGCCTGGCCCTGGCCTGCGTGGCAGTGCAACCTCGCTGGTAGAGTCAGGAGGCTGGGACTCCACTCGGATGTTACACAGCCACCATGGCTTAGGTGTCGGAGAGAGGAGAAGCCCGGGAAGAAAAGAACTGTTTCCTTAGGCCCTGCGAGTTAACTGGAAGTAAGACAAGGGCACTTGCGGCGGTGGGGCAGAGGAGGGGACGGGGGAACCTGCAGAGGGGCGGGATCAAGCCATGGTCGTGAGCCAGGCGACATTCAGGTAGGTGGGAGCATCAGGAGGCCACGTGCCTGTGGTGGAGGAGCCACAGCACAGAGCAAGCCACACTCACTCCCATATCACATCACACCACTCACACGCCACCCACGCCACTCACACCACTAACATGCCATGCACACCACTCACACCACTAACATGCCATGCACACCACTCACACACCACCCTCACCACTCACACCACTCACACACCACCCACGCCACTCATACCACTCACACGCCACCCACGCCACTCACACCACTAACATGCCATGCACACCACTCACACACCACGCACACCACTCACACCACTCACACACCACCATCACCACTCACACCACTCACACACCACCCACGCCACTCACACCACTCACACACCATGCACACCACTCACACCACTCTCACGCCACCATCACCACTCACACCACTCACACGCCATGCACACCACTCACATACTACCCACACCACTCACATCCCACTCACATGCCACTCACGCCATCCACATCACTCACATGCCACCCATGCCACCTACACATTACCCTCATGCTGCTCACCACCCATGCCACCCACGTGCCACCCACACCACTCTCACATGCCACTCACATGCCACCCACAGAACCGGTGCGGAGGCCGGACAGAGGGGCTTCTCAGCTGAGAGCATGAGGAAGCAGTGGGGAGCACCTGCCTGTTCTGGAGAACTGAGAAAAGCCACCAAAGTGCTGTGTGTGCTAGCATGCACACAGGCCAGTGTGTGGTGGCCTTGAGTGGTGAGCGAGCAGGAGGCAGGCCCAGGATACCCCACAAAGGTAAGTGTAAAAGCTGGTACCCCCAAGAGGCAGCGCTCCCCAGTAGCAGTACCCAGACCGCACCCTCCCACCCGCAGGGGGGCTGAGCCAGGGCCTGAGTCTACGGGCTCCCCAGCTGGGATTGCCCCCTAGCGCCTGGCCCTGGCATGCATGAAGGCGTTCAGGAGGGGGGCAGGGCCAGCACAGGCCGTAGTGTCCCCACAGACTCTCTTTCCAGGGAGACATGGCCTTAGAGGTCAAGTCCAGGAGTGGGCTGCAGGGGCCTCTGTACCTGGTCCTGGCTGCTGCCTCCGCGGAGCTCAGAGAAGCCTCAGGCCTGGCCACAGATGCTGGCCGCTCAGTGGGTAGCAGGGTTTTGGGGCCTCAGGGCTCTGGGATTCTGGGTCCACCTGGCGTTTGGGGAGTTTGTTATTCAGACATGGAAAGAGAACAACTCTCCCAGGAAGGGATTTTTCTTTCCTTATGAGAAAGGCTGTGACCCAGATCTGGGGCAGGAAGGACAACCCGGCTTCCTCATCGCAGGCGGCCACAAGGAGCTCGTGCTCCGGCCCACAGTGCTCGGCTACTCTGGAAATGAGGGAGTGGAGAAGCCTCAGCCAGGGCTGGGGCAATGCCCGGCCCTCCACGCATGCTGAGCACACGTCACGCCGGCTTTTTCCCTGATGGCGGCTCAAGTCAGAAGCCAGCGTGTAGAGCAGGAGCGGAGCCTGGCCAGCCGTTCCTAAGCCAGCTCTAGGCTCCGCTCCTGGCTCCCACGGAACACTCCCACGCTGT